TCTCTCTCTTTCTCTCTCTCTCTCTCTCTCTCTCTTTCTCTCTTTCTCTCTTTCGCTCTGTCTCTCTCTCTCTCACGCACCCGACGGGTCGACGCACCCCGCGCCCGTCTCTCTCGCACCCCTTGTCGTGCGGCGGCCGAGCCGATCGTGAGGGGCGATGGTCGGCGTGATGGCCGCCGCGGCCGAAGGCCTAAAGGCCCAAAGCGGGAAGTCAGTCGAAATTAAAGCAACTTACTTTCGCTCGGTCGAAAGCCGGAACGACGGGCGGGGCGGCGGTCTGCGCGTACAGTAAGCCCAGGGCTTTCATTACAGAAATCTGCTTTTAATGGACTCGACTCCACACTGCCCTGTAACGCGGTGGCTTTCTTTCCTTGGGGGAGGGGGGGGGTCATAAGCCGGGATGCCAGCGTACTGTTTCAAGAAGAAACACAGAACGGGTGTGAGGGGAAACTATTGGTCTAGCTAGCTAGTGGAAAGGACCATAGGGGTTGAGCGCATCCATCCACACGAAGCTTTTCTCCTATCCCTTCCTATTCTGAGATGCGGGCAAATTCCCTCTCTTTACACATGCGTAGCTAACAGGGGCCGTCCAGAAAGTACGTCCGTTTTTCTCAGATTCAGACAGTTTGGGAGCTCGGCGCCTGTGAGAATCGGGGTAGGCCACCCTGCAGTACACGCACGCACTGAACGCGAGATGTTGCCTACCTACCAGGCGCTATGGGGGCTCACACAGGCTGAACTTGGCAGGTTTGAAACAAACCAAAGCAAAGCAAAACCAAAGCAAAAATGTGCAAAATGTAATGCGCCTGGGGACACCTATACCGACTTCCAACACGACTACAAAATTCGCGACGGCGTCCTTAGCGTAAGCTAGGTTGGACGTCGACGCTCAGGACGTCGTGCTGAAGTGCAACATTATTTTACTGAATTTGACTATTTGACTCAATTTAGATTTAATTTAATACCCTATGCCAACTCTGCCCGTGTGACAACGGCGAATATGTGAAAGGGGTGGATTGTGTTCTCAAGTTGTCAATGTTTTGACGTGCCTTCCTTTTGCAGGTGGAGCTGGACTCCGCCCAGTTCGTGACGCGCACCTACGTGACGACCTACACGCTGGTGGAGACGTCCACGTCGCAGGAGCACGTCGTGAGCAACGTGGCCACGGAGCAGGTCGACCCCGCGGGCGCCACCAGCACCCCGCAGAGCTCCGGTCAGTAACAACAGAACGCATCGGCGGCCCATCCGCTTAGCGAACGCCGTGACGTCGGTCCAGGGGCGTATGAAGGGTGGACGGAGAGAGGGGGGGTGTATCGAAAGTTGCCTACATACAGGGGGTTTTGTCGGCCAAATTGCCTACCGTTAGGCAGCTATATCCAGCAAGACGACCACAGAGGGGGCAATCGCCCTCTCCCCCTTAACACACGCCTGCGTCGGTCGGATGAGGTCGCGATGTCGTCTCGTTGTCGCCTCGATGTCGTCTCGGTGTCGTCTTGATGTCGCCTCGGTGTCGTCGCGATGTAGTCGCGGAGCTGCTCGAGACGTGTCTGCACAACCGCTAATAATGCGGGCCGCGACGCCTTTCTCCGCGACGTGTGTAATCCTGGACTCGCCGGAGGTCACGGAGCGGCTGGAGCCGGTGGCTGAGCCGGTGGCTGAGCCGGCTGCCCGAGCGTGTCATTGGCAAACGCTTGCGACAGGCCGACCTAACCTCTAACCTAATCCTCCTACTGTCCCCACCCTCGCACTGCGGCCGTGTGGCAGCGTGCGGCGTCCCTTCGCGGGGCCTTGCCCTGCCGCCTTCTCCTGCCATTCCAGGAGACTACCAAACCGTCATGCAGATGTTTGTCGCGGCCGCACCGCGCCACGACGCCGCGCTCGCCAGGTCGTGGGACTGACGACAAGCAGGGGGCTGCGGTTGAGCGTTCGATGCCCCGCCACGCCCCGCCGCCGGGGTGGCCTCGCGGCCGCGGAGTCGCGGAGGACACCACGTGGGACGTCATCATCATGCTAGTGGTTTAATTGGAGGGGACTCTGATCACTGGAATGCTGGGTCGGGACGGGACGGGTCGGTGCCAGCCGCGGTAGCAGCAGCAGCAGCAGCAGCAGCAGCAGCTGATTCTTGGCAGACCACCGGCTGGCAGGCTGGGTGGGTTAGGTTGCGGTTCTCTGCGCGCGGAGGACCCAAAGAAGACTTAAATCTGTCGTGCCCGCGTCGCTTGACCCGATTCTGCGGATGAGCGCTTTGCTCCGACGTGAGCTTTCATTACAATTTTATTTTTCGTGGCGAATCACTGTCAAAATGGCAATATGTATAATAAGCGCACGCAGATGCATTTACAGCGCAACACCTCAGAATCAATTAACTTGGTAGAGACCTATTACAGTCCGTGTAACTGTTGATTACTTTTTGTTTGCGAGTGTCTGCCAGCAGACACCAATGAGGCGCATCATGACCCGTAATGGACCACGTGACGTGTATTTTGACGCTGCTGCTCCTCTGTTCCCCACAGTGGGCGTGACGGTGACGGCGAGCCCCGTGCTGAGCACGGCCGTGTACCACACGACGTACACGTACCTCAACACGCTGCTGGACGGCGAGGTGCCGCTCGTGCTCACGTCCCGCCGGACGGTGGCCAACACGGTCACGGCGCCGGGGGAGCTGCTCAGCACGCTGCCGGCCGCCGACGCGCTCGCCACCAACACCTACCTGTCCACGGTGCAGCTCACGCGCACGCTCAGCGACGGCGACCAGCTCAAGGTGGTCTCGACGCAGGACGTGCTCACGCGGGTGGTCATCACCGAGTCGCAGCAGCAGGCGCAGCTGGTGACGCACGCGCCCGCCGCCACGCCCACCGAGCTGGACATGACCACCACCGAGGTGGTCAAGACGTATCTGGTCACGTACACGTACTACTCGACCTACCTGGAGGGAGAGAGCACCGTGGTGCACTCCGACGTGGCCGTCTCCACCGACATCACCACCGAGACGTTCCTCAAGAAGCCCAAGAGAACCTCCGCGCTCCGTGAGTGTCACATGTCACAATCACTACGCACTAAATGCGGTCGGGCAATTTTGTCTAACGAAATTTTGTTTTGTGTAATTTTCTTGAGGCAAATATTTTACGTTTTATGTGATAATTGTGTGCCAGGGGTAAGAATTGTCTCAACGGTGGTGTGCGTAAATACTCATTCTTTCTGTTAGACCAAATTGCCCCATGATGTTGAGAAAATGAACATTTACGCCAATCGCAATTAAACAGAGCGAAAAGGCAAATAAACTTGTTTGGTTCCTGCAGGTTTGGAGACGACGACATCTGTAGTGGAACCGACGCCCACACCGCCAGAGGCGTCCCCCTCGCTGTCTCCGACTCGCGCCCCGGTCGCCCAGGAGGAGAAGCTGCCCGGCATCCACGTGGTGGCCACAAAGACGTACCTCACGACCTTCACGTACTTCACGACCCTGCTGCAGGGCAGCATGCCCGCCGTCTCCACCGTCGTCTCCTCGCGCACCCGAGTCGTCCAGAACGTCGTCACCGAGAGCGTCGCAACCTCCTTGCTGCACCCCGACTACGTCCAGCGTCTCCGCAGCTCGTTCCGCGTGAGTGGCCGGCTCGGGTTCAACTCCCACACCGACGGAAGTAGGTTGATGGTCCCCTTTTTTTCACCGCCTGTGTTGTCTCGCTCCGCAGGCCGATCCCGCCCTGGACTCGAGCCGCATCGTGGCGACGGCGACGCTGCAGGGCGGCCAGCAGATGGAGATCACCGCCATGGTCGACAGCCCCGCCAACCTGGCCGCCCTGGCCGCGGCCGCCTCGTCCAGCTCGATGCTCGCGGACGCTGAGGCCGTGGCGAGCACGGTGGCCACGCCGGCGCTGGCCTCCGTCATGTCCCCCGACAAGGCGCTGCTGAGCTCGCTGGTGAGCAGCGCCGCCTCCGCCATCATGGGCCAGTCCGCGGCCTCCGCCCCGGCCTCGGGCGCGGCCTCGGCCAACCGCGGCAGCTCGAGCCCCGCGGCACCCGCCGCGCCGGCCTCGCCCGTCAACGACAAGGTCATCACTGGCTCCACCATCATCTTCTTCGACGACCCCGAACCCGCCGACAAACCAAGGTAACACATGTCGACTTGGCAGCCGTTGCTGTCGGCCGCCGTACATGTTACTTGTTGAAACTAACGTCCGATTCGGATTCTCGTTGTGCCCCACGCAGCAGCAGCAGCGCCGTTAAGACCTCGACCCACAAGCACCACTCGTCCTCGGATGGCGGTGTCACCAAGCCCTCCCGGACGCACCGGCCGCCCTCCAAGACCCACAAGCACAAGGTGAAGCCGTCCACGAGCACCAAGGAGAAGCCGTCTGCCTCGGCCGCCCTGGGCCACACGTACCGCACCTCCATCCTGTCGTCCCGGACCGTGACGGCGCACGGCGCCACGCTGCAGGCCGGCGAGCAAGTCGTCGTGCTGTCGCGTCCGGACGGCTCCGAGGCCGTGATACCCGTCGGCCCGACCTCCGCCACCGACTCGGCCACCAACAAGAGGCCCTCGGGGGAGAAGGTCGGAGAGGTCGCCGAGCCGAGCTCCAACCTTGGCATGTCGGACCTGCTGCAGCTGGGCTCCATCGGCATCAACGGCATCAACGCCCTACGCCCCGTGTTCAGCGCCATGGCGGGCTTGCTCTCCCCGGCGGTGAGTGACACCCCGACACACTGCTATATGTATCCAGCATCCCAGAAAATTAATTAGCCGTACTGTAATCATTTGGCCAGCGTGGTAGGGACTACCATCAATGTGGGGCAACTATTACTCAGTGGGAAAACCAGATTTTGCATGTCACTTCCATGTGCATGTTGCCTGCTTGAGCGTATTTCTATGGTTGCACTCCACGAACTAGCAATTCTGTAGTTTTCATTTTTGTGGATGTACTCCTTTTCAACACGCCCACTTTCTGCTCAACAATTTGATTACTTTGAAAAAGTGGTCCAGAAAGCGGGGATAACTGCAAAATCATAAGTTTTCAAGAAACACAGAAAACTGTTTGACGCTGCAAATTCAAAAGGGTTTTTAACTTTTATTTTACTTTTTTATTCTTCAAAGAGTCAAAGATAAAATGGCAAAGGTAGGATGTTTTGTGCCAACCCTTTCTAGATTTAAAAAACAAGACATCTCCCGTAAACATTTGTGTAAAGGGAGACGATTAAGTTACCCCTAATGAATTCAGAGGCAAGTCCTTCCATTCGATACAAAAGGAGCCATCTCGACAATCAAATATCTTTAAATGCTATAGCATTCATAGGGGGTAGATAAAGCATTCCAGTAAAGCTGAAATGCAGAAGAATGCAGGGAACAAGAAAACGGAAGTCCCATGTAAAAGCATAGTGATTTCCGTTTTCTTCTTCCTCGCATTCCTCTGCATTTTAGCTTTCCGGAATGCTTTATTCGAGTTGTCTCCTTATTGAAGTAAAAGCTAGTATGGTATAAAGGGTTGTCAACTTGACTCACTTTTCATTCGGCCATATCTCAGGAACTATGACATGTAGGCAAACATTTTTTTTTTCAGAAATTGTGCCCTTTGTACTACTGTGGATTAACAGCCACTAAAAATCCAAGTTTAAGATTATGTCAGTTATTCCCTTCTTCCGCTTCCTAGATCAGGTGTTCATTGGATCATGCCCCGCCTTCCTGTTTCAGAAGGAGGAGATTCCTGCCAAGCAGCCCCTGGTGCTGGTGCACAAGCTGCCCGCGGTGTCGGGCCCCCACGGCCCACCGGTCGGCCTGCACGCGCCCCCGGCACCCGGCCCGACCCCCGCCGGCCTGCCGCTGTCCCCCTTCCAGAAGCCGCCGCCCCCAGGCCCCGTGGCATCGGCCGGCCCTCCGCCGACGTCCCCCGCGCCGGTCCTCGAGCAGAACCCCCTGCTGAGCTACGCCGGCCCGCAGCCGCCGCCCCCCGAGAGGCTGGTGGCCGCGTCCTCCAACAACCCGCAGAGAAACCCGATCTACATCCCGGTTGGCGCGGGCGCCGGCCACCCCAAGGACACCATCGCGGAGGAGAGCCAGCGCATCGAGGGCAACACTAAGGTACGTGGTAGCGCCGTGCGCGGGGCTGCCTACAGTACCTACTGGAGGCAGAGCAAGAAAACTTCAATTTGAAACATTTTCACTCTGTCGTCCATATCTTCGTGTGCGTAACTCAGTGTTGCCTTGCCCCGCAGCTGAACGCGGTTTGGCCGGACGCGGAGCAACGCCTGAAACTGGCGCAACAGGCCCAGGCTCAGCAGGCCCAGGACGGCGCCAGCGGCGTGGTGCTGGGCAGGCCGACCCTGGAGTCGCCCCTGCTCGCCGGTGGCATCCCCATCCAGCCCGGCCAGGTCATCACCGCCAACTCGGACGTCATCATCGGGAAGCCCTCGGTGCACGGGCCGCGACCTCCAAAGCGGCCGCCCACGCCCGCGGACCACACGCCCATCGGCATGAAGCCGCCGCCACCGCCGCCACCGCCCCAGGCTACCTGGCCCGAGCACGACCGCCTCCCCGAGGACACCGTCGAGCACGACACGCTGGACGAGCACCACGAGCAGCCCGTGCCCGCCGCCACGGGCGTGGACGAGCCGCATGAGCAGGTAAAGTTTGGAAGTTCGTAAAGCTAGAGCACGAAATAGGTCAGCCCTTATCCCATCAACAGACTGAGTAACAACAATAATTCTCTGCTCCGCAGTTTGGCGAGCACATTGCCAACCTGCTGCCTCCGCCCGCACCGCCCGCGACACCGCTGCGCGAGGAACGCCCCAGTGGTGGTCCTGCCATCCCACTCGGCCACTCACACCACCACCACCATAACCACCACCACAAGATCGCCGAGATCCTTGACATGTCGCCGCCAGCCAACCAGCCCACCGTCGTCCACGCGCCCTCTGACGACATCGCACTGCGGCCTCCACCTCCGCCGCACCAGCAGCACCAGCAGCACCAGCAGCACCAGCAGCAGCACCTCCAGCATCACCCCCAGGACCAACTCCACCCCCACCTCCAGCACCAGCTCCACCCCCATCCCCAGCACGAGACGCAGCTGCACCAGCAGCACGTTGACCTCCCCATGTTGACCGTAGTGGGCTCTCACTCCCCAGCTCCTCTGGGCCTCGGTGACTTTGGCCCCAGCCCCACTCAGGTGTCGGTCATCCCCCAGGGCCAAACCATGTTCCTGGGCCGGCCCGTCGGCCAAAAGATGAACGTGGATCAACAGCACCTAACCCCCGACACCATCACCGTCCCCATCATCCTGCCCGGCAACCCGCAGGTGGTGGAGCGCGCCTCAGGGCAGCCGCTTCTCGTCAACATCCAGCCCTCGCAGGTGGCCAACGTCCTCATCCCGCACGGCAGCAGCACGGCGCTCATCTACAGCGGTGACACGCTGGAGCACGGCAAGAAGGGCGAGTACTTCGACGACCCGCTGCCGTACCCTGACCCTGACACTGCGCACTCCGGTCCTGTCGCTGTCGGCCCGCTAGGGGTGCCCAAGCCCAGCTCGGCCATACGCATGGACGTCCCCATCCCGCCGGAGGGCATCCAAGTCCAGATCTCTGCCGGGAACGCTGTGCAGGGTCCCTCAGTGCACGGGCCGCCCTCGGCCCCGCCGCCCAGCCATGGACCGAGTATTCCTCTGCATAACGAGGTGCCCGTCCAGCACCACGTTATTCACCACCATCAAAACGACCAAGCTGGACAAGGGTTCCCGGGACAGTCGTCTCATCATCACCATGGCCACCATCCCTTCAACAACTTCCCCAACGTCCACGTTAACGAGGTGCCGCATCGCGGCGGGTACCATGACCCTGCTCACGCCCAGCAACAGCACGAACAGAACATTCGGGAACAGCAACTGCAGGAACACAACATACGCGAGCAGCAACTGCAGGAACAGCGCATTCGAGAACAGCAGCTGCAGGAACAACACATCCGAGAACAGCAGCTGCAGGAACAGAGGTTACGTGAGCAGCAACAACAGGAACATCACCTGCGCGAGCAGCAGTTGCAGGAACAGCTACGCGAACAGCAACAGCATGAACAGCGTCTGCGCGAACAACAACAACAACAACACGAACAGCGTCTCCGCGAACAGCAGCAGCAAGATCAGCTCCTGCGAGAACAGCAATTGCACGAACAGCACCTACGTGAACAGCAACTGCAGCAGAAACTGCTTCAGCAGATCCAACATCACCAACAACCCTCGCGTGACGCGGCCGGGCCTGTTCGGCCCACCGGCGCGCTTGACGAGCCCGTGGACTACATGGTGCCCCCGCCAGCGCCCTCCCACCACGGGCGGCCCCGCCCCCAGGGTCGCCCCCAGCCGCAGCCACAAGCCCCGCACCGCGTCCCTCCGCCGCTGCCCGACCAGGACAACGAGCAGGACGGCGGCCCGGAGGAGAACGAGCCCATCGAGTCTGAGGGCGGTGAGCTCATCCAAGAGTCGAACGCGCGGCCGCTGCGCCCGGGGCAGGTGCCCATCGAGCTGGAGGTGGCCAACCAGGCCAAGACGACGGAGCGGACGCCCATCTTCATCCCGCACGCGCCGGCTCTCGGCCCCGCGTCGCCCCCGCACCACCCGCACCACGGCCACCGCCACTACCCCGTGCCGCCCGGCCCGCGCCCGCATGAGCCCTTCCGCTTCGAGAGGCCCGGACCGTCCGACCACAAGCCCATGAACTTCGACATCGAGTCGCCCATCAAGTCAACCATCATTTACGAACAGCGACCGGATAGCAACAGGCTGGAACCAGCAGACCCGGGGCCGCCCAAGACGGCCTTCATCTTGCCGAGACCGTCCTCCAAGCCGTCCGCGGCGCCAAAGCCCCCACCCCCACCACCGCCACCCAAACCTTCCCCTACGCCGATCCCCTTCCCCAAGCCAACACTGCCGCCTACAACAACGCCCGCTGCGCCTGTGACGACGCCCTCTAAGTCCGACGGTGGTGCTGGTTACGGTGACACTCCACCGCCCGCACCTCCAGTGTCGCCTACCTTCGCGGCAACCGCCACCAACAAGCCCCCCAAGAGCCGCCCCGACCGGCGACCCTCTGGCCCCGGAGACCGCACGTCCCACGACGACCAGGTGCTCGGCATGGCCCCGCCTACGCTGCCGCCGACCACGACCACGAGCAGGCCGCACCGAAGACCGACGCATCGGAAGCCGCGGCCTCCACCCCCTTACAAGTTTGAGATGCCGCCACCGCCGGCCGACACGATGCAGCCGCCCACAGAGCAGCCTCCGCCGCCCGCGACGAGCACGCGACCCCAGCCGCCGACGCAGCCTCCGGCGTCATCGTCCGCCCCCAGCGAGGGCAGGCCCTTCAACCGGCCTCCGGTCCTGGAGATGGCCAAGCCCTTCCCCACCATCACGCTGCCAGGGTCGCAGGCAGGAGAGACGGTGCAGCACGAGGTCACCTGGTCGGAGCCGCCGAGGCGGTACACCACGACGACCACGACCTCAACCACCACGACGACGCCCGCGCCGACAACCAGCAGCACCACGAGGCGGCCAACGGCGCCCTTCATCCGCCCGCTCCGGCCCTTCACGAAGCCGCCGAGGCTGTCTCCGCCCAGGGACGCCCCCGCCCCCAACATCGTCCCCACGCCGCCACAGCCCGCGCCCACGAGTACGCTTGCCCAGCTGACGCCTCTGGACATCGCCCCCACGACGACGCGCGGACGGCCGCCACCCAGCAACCGCTGGACGGCCAGTCCCATCGCGGACACCATCGCGGCCTCCGAGCCGACCGTCCCTGGGGTGGTGCCCAGCTCCATCTCCACGCCGCTGGACAACTTCTCGGGCAAGTCGAGCGCGCAGCCCACCAGGGTGTACCTGACCAGACACAGCGGCTCCACCAACAGGTTCACGCGACCCACCACGACGGAGCGCTTCACGCCGTCACCCACCAAGGACTCGAACTCCCACACGCGCTACGCCAGCCCGCCGTACCGCGCGCCACCACGGCGCCCGCAGCCCGCCGACGAGGAGCTTCCCGCACCCTCGCCTGCACCCACACCAGCGCCGGCCCCCGCCCCTGTCCCCGCACCGCAGCCCACGCGCTACATCACGCACACGGAGACCATCGTCCTCACCACGACGGAGACCTCCGTGCTGCGCGGCAGCGAAGGGCAGCAGCCTTCCACACAGACGGTTGTGCTCACGTCCACGATGACGTCCACACGCGTGGACACGGTCACGCAGACGGAGACTCTTGTGAAGCCCACCTCCGTGTTCGAGACGGTCACGACCACCGTGTCCCACACGACCACGCACATCCACACTCAGACCGCCGAGCCTTCGGTGCTACCCACCATTATCCCCCCATGGGCGGTGTCGCCCACTCCGTACCCGGAGAACGAGTCCATTGACGTCCACGTATCGTCTTCCGCCTCGGGTCACCCGACCGGCGCCAGTGAAGACGGCGGAGAGAGTGACGGCGAGGACGACGACATCATCACGCACCCTCAGGACGGCGAAGACTCCATTTTCCTCGTCATGACGGACCACAAGCCCGGCACCGTCCAGGTCCACAAGCTGCCGCCGCCCTCCCTCGAGGACGAGCCCACCAACGCCGACGAGACCAACGAGGTGAAGAACAACGCCGTGCTCCTGGGTGGCGTCCTGGTAGCCTCGCCGCCGGGCGTGCGCCCTGCTGGCGTCGTTGTCGACGAAGAGGACCCCGACGACGAGCACCTCGCGGTGCAGTGTCGCCCGGAGTGCTCGGCTACGCGGAACGAGCTGTGTCAGCGGCAGCATGGCCTCATGCGCTGTGTGTGCCGACCGGGCTTCGCCAGGATGTTCCCCGACCAGCCGTGCAAGCGTGAGTACTCCCTCTGGGCGCCTGTCGGGTAGGCAATATCTGCCCGTGGTTCGCAGCCGTGCGCTGCGGTGGCCTACCCGCCAGGCGCTCCGCTTACCCCAACCCTCTCCGGCCCGCAGCGACCTACACCTACAGCATGCGGCTGGCGCTGGACCGACACGGCGGCGAGCGGGTGCGCTTCGCCGAGTGGCTGTCCGACCCGGCCTCCCCGCGCTTCGCCCGCCTCGCCGAGGCCACCAAGGAGGGCCTGGAGCGCGTCGTCATGCAGAGCGAGCTGCGCGACGTGGCGCACGGCGTGGTGCTGCAGGGATTCGCGCCCGCCGGTCAGCACGACAACGACCACGCCGTCGTCAACTTCTACGTCCAGGTAAGTGACTCGACGTGCCCTTTCTGCTTGACACATCACCCGCGAGATACTCCGTCGGCTGACACGCCTCTTGTCTCTCACCAAGCTGTCGGACAACACGGACGAGCTGCGGCTCAAGGGCGTGTTCCGCAAGAGCCTGCGCGCCACCAACTTCAGCCTCGGCGGCACGGAGGTGTTCGCCGCCCGCGAGATGCTCCCCGAGCTGGACGCGGCCGACTTCGACGAGTGCGAGGCGGACGCCGGAGACTCGTCGGCCACGGCGCGCTTCCACGACTGTTCCGAGCACGCGCGCTGCTTCAACCTGCGCGGCACCTACACCTGCTCCTGCAAGGAGGGCTACACGGACGTGTCCGAGAACCCCCAGTTCCCGGGTCGCGCCTGTTCGGCCGAGCAGGTCGGCTGCGAGCAGTGCCACTACCACGGCACGTGCTTCTCGCGAGGCCCCGGCGAGCGGCCCGTCTGCGAGTGCTTCCAGTGGTACACGGGCCAGAACTGTCACATCAACCTCAAAGGTAAGCGAGCCAGTCACCAATGTGTGAGCGGCACGCGCCGTAGGATTTCGTTCTTTATTTTTTGTTTAGAGGAGGGGGGTGAGTTATAATGCAAGGGTACTAGACTACAAGTACACGTGACCACTTTATTCCAAGTGACCGAAAAACTTTAGCTAGCATTCTCGTGACGGCGACGTCGTCATGAATGACGATGCTTAAGGTGTGTCGCTCATGCTCTGTGCTCCGCTCTGCCCCGCAGTGCTGCTGATCGCGCTGGGCACCCTGGGCGCCGTGCTGCTGCTGCTGCTCGTGCTGTGCTGCGTCATGGCCTGTGCCCGTCGCCACTCCCGCTACAGCCGCGCGGGCCGGCCGCAGCCGCCGCCGGGCTTCCTGCGCTACCGCGGCCCCTCGCACCGCGACCACGACACCCGGGCCATGATCCACGACACGAGCAGCGAGGGCTCCGTCGACAACCTGCCGCCCTACGTGACGGCCATGCACCAGGTAGGCGTCGTCACAAGCTGCGTTGGGGGGCCTGGGACCGTCGGTTTGACTGTGTCTTCTCCTCTGCCCCGCCAGCCCATGCACACCATGAGCGCCAAGCACAAGAAGGGCGCCGGCAAGAAGGTGTCGGTGCCGCACGAGCTGGTCGTGGAGCGCGCGGACTGCGGCTCGGCGCTCGGCTCGCCCGCCGGCACCATGGAGCAGCGCGACCGCTCGCTCACCGTCATGATCCCTCGCGCCAAGTACCGCGCCGCCAGCACCAGCGGCCCCGCGCCGCTCACGTCGCTGTCCACGTTCACGGGCGAGCTCTCGCGCGAGCACGACCCCCAGCACAAGCTGCTGGCCTACCTGGAGGGCCCCAGCTCCGGGGCGTGCCCGCAGCAGGGCCCGCAGGGATCGCAGGGCGCGCAGGCCGTGCCGCAGGCGGCCGCGGGCGCGCAGCAGGGCGCCGGCCGCAAGCAAAGCGCGCAGAGCGGCGCCGGCCCCGCGCCACCACCGCCGCCCTCCCACCGGAAGGGCCCCGCCCCCAGGAAGCCGTCGGCGACGGGCGCCCTCGTCTCGGCCGGCTTTGAGGTGTCCGCCACCGTGGGCCGGCACATACGCCCCGGGCCGCACACCCTGGACGTGGACGAGGACGTGTCCTCGCGGGACGGCGACGACATGAGCTCGCACCACCCGCACTACCACGCCGATCATCATCATCACGATCACCGCTACGACACGCAGCGCACCAGAGTCGGAGACAGGTATGCGAGAGGAGGGGCCTTTGCTCTTTAATTCATCTCACCGGGTCTGGACTTGCTCCAATATGATTACGCACCTTTGAGTTTTTCAGCTGGCACTTTTGGTGTTTGGCTTGCAATCTGGGTCCGGCCGGATGTGTTGACCTCTGTTTGTTTCCAGCCGCACTAGTTCTGCTAGTGCCCCAGTCGGTGGAGACAGCTGTCCAGCACACCAGCTAGCCGCCAGGCTCGCAGACCTGTAAGCGGTTTACTTCCACCCTTATTCTTTCCTGTCCTTTCAACTTTTTTGATTTTTCATGAAATTAATTTGTTTGGTGGTGAGGCTATTTCTCTTCAACATCTGTTTCCCTTATTTCAATATCTGAATTGATGAGTCTAAGTTTCATACCTCAAGACACATTAGGCTGGAACTAAGTAGTTAACACGTGGAGTCCCACCCACATAGTCATACTAGTACAAAAAGGGGACCCTTCTTCCCCCTAAGACTCAATGTTTTAATCTACTGACCATTTTTAGCTTCATATTGATTTCAGAACTAGAACTGAATGGGCTTTGTCAGATTTTATTATATGAAACGATTATTGTCGCACAATACATTTTATAATGCTCTGCTCAGACAATTAAAATTGAATGTTGCCAGATCTTTTTCTTTTTCTCTCATTGCTTTTAATGACTAGAGGTCTGTTCTTGTAGTGTACTCTTTCTTAACAAATAGATTTTCCACGCTCTACATGTGCTTTCAAATAGCACGTTTCCTTCCATATTCCTGCTGTTTCCTGTACAACTAGGGGTGTTTACAGGACGGTGTCAGAGGCCCGATCGTGTGACGAGACCACAATCCAGCCCCCCACCAAATGCATACACAGCCATGTCTCAAACTACGCCTCATCAAAGCCATCTTCACATTCAAATCACAACAACAATGATGTAAGTGACTTGGAAATTGATTGCACCTGAAATGCTTTTAAACTTCCACATAAATTTTCAACATTTTTAACAGGTTTTGTCCATAATCGTTCATGTTATCGTCTGTGATTAATTCAATTTCCTCTTTTCCCCCTTTTTTCAATTTTCAGGAAAGCCATACAATGGTTGAAAGAGATTTAGGATCAACATTCCTCATGCCCCAGACTCATCTTTACCAACCAGATAGAGTACTTTTTGGTATTAAAACCTCGAATCATCATCTGAGAACCTTATTTTAAACCTTTCTTTTTTCTCAGGGCAGCGATATTTCCAACTTTGATTCTCTCTGAAGATAACCTACCGTCGACGGGCAGCAGGCACCTCATGCTCAACAGACCTCCGATAAAGCCCTGCCGTTCTGTCTTTTTTTTTATTGACTAAAACATTTGATAGACTTATATGTGACAATGTGCTATTTAATAGTAACAAATCATAAGATTCTTATTATTTTTGTATTTGTATCATAGTAGGATTATGTATAATATTGAATAGTATTGTAGTTTTGTACTTGTTGAAATGCCCTGGAAATAATAACAAAATGATATGTGTATGAAATTTGTAAGGACTGAAATATGCCACGGTATCAAGTTGATGAAATAATGACTCTATGAAGGAAACAGCATTAGAACTCTCTCTTGTAAGATTAGATGGTAGTAAAGGGAATCTCTTCACCCTGGTTTAGTGTTTTCTATGGGTAAACCATAAATCATTGTCTGTATATAGTGATCAATGTGTTTTAACTTCTCCATTTATTATTTATCAGTCTTTTCTTTTGTATAATTAATTACTTCATGCTATGTATATATTATGCTAGTGACCTTACGAGAGAGTTCATGTTGTTTGACTGAGTGAATCATATATTCATCACACACCTTATACCTGCCTAGTGCCAAAAGTATATTTTTGTATTTTTAAACTCTAAGATTTGTCTGTGCTTTATTTTTGGTCTTTTACCTTCTAGTAATTTCAATATTTCTCTATTCACCAAAAGAAATTACTGCAAGTTACAAGACCTTGGTGATGACACCAGATGATTAAGTTTTAAGGACTTGACATAGTATGTGGAATATCAAAAACTTGCACACATGTTAAAATGTGTACTTACTGCTAGGATAAGATTTGTCATTTTACATATTGAATAAACTAACTGATCGTTTAACCTGTTGGTTTAAGCTCAATAATGTTGATGCTGTGGCCCACGAGAGTTCCCAAACACGCGACGAGGACCGGCCTTGGCCGAGTAGGAGTGTGAGTGCGTGTCACCTTGACGGTCGTCCAGATTCCAGATAGTGTGTGTACGTTTTTCTGATTTTCGTTCGACAAATAGCGGGAGCTGTTATAGACGGATACTTGGGGTCCTATAGACTAAATAATATTCCCACACTAATGTCAGACTGAATTCTACTCCGCCTGGTCAGCGCCTAGACAATGCCCTAAACAGGTAGTGCACAGGCGATGCCCGGTTGACACTTCCATCGGTGGCTCGGGTGCGAATCGGCGGGCGGATGGCCTGATGTGCAATATAACACCAGACCAGCCCTCCACGCAGGACACAGCCGAATAGCATAAATAGAGGAGCAGGACAGATCAGAGCTCAGTCATGAAGTATTCGCTCAGTCGTCTCGAGGTAGCGCTAGGAGAGCTCGGCGCCTGCGATACTCGAGGTAGGCCACCCCACAGTACAAGCGTGCACTGCGCACCTGATGTTGTCTACCTATCAGGCGCCTTGCATTGCAGAGCTACTGGAGTCGGTAGGTTCGAACGTGGCATGACGGACGTACTTTCTGGATAATCCCTTGGTGCGTGCCACGAGAACGTCCCCGTTTGCTTCCACACAGCTGTAGCTACAACTTACACGGCCACAGGCAGCTCCATCCAACCGACTCCTCTCCCCACGTTATACCTAAACCTACAAGGACAAGACGTCCCTATTTGTGGCCACAATGCCGGCGGACAGAGTCAGCTTAATCCGACCCGACTATAGAACATTCTTTTCCGGGTAATTTGAAATCCGAAGCCTTCAGGGTGTAAGCAGAAGGCAAGGGCCTGCTCTGCACATAATCCCCGGATGCATCTGAACTAACACAATGGGGCCCGGGGCCCCCCAAACCTAAGGGACAGTTGTGTACTGATTGCCTACCCTCCTGGCGCCCTCAGCCACAACTCGCCGCAAGGGTCTCCGTCGCAGTACGAACGGTTCCGAATGACAACGCCTGCGGCGCATCGGGTAGGCCTTCCCGCCAAGTGTCTGTGTGCAGATAGTGGCCTACCCTCCCTTAGCCCCTGCTAGCCCCCTGACGCACATACCCTGCAACGAGACTACTACGGGGAACAGGCAGGCAACACGTGTTGTTTCAGTAGGCTTGTGGTTGTTTCTGACTAAGGTAAGAAACTGCTGTTGTTATTTTGTTTTTGTTCTAGTTCGTCATTGCAAATTATAGATTTGTCAATATAGTGTCATAGAGACACCTCTATCTATGCGTAGACGCGGAAGAACGCCAACGTGATAAGTCTAATCCTCACACTTATCTACATAACCTCATTTTGAATTTATGACCTTGTGCCACACTCTTTTTGACGTTTCTCTATGGCATGATTAAATGGATGTCTAAAATTTCTTCTGTTCCACTTTTATCGGGCTGTTGGCTTTTGGTGTCTAGCCAAAGATGTTGAATCTGATGAACAGGGAGGGTATGAAATGTCAAGGGGGAAAAGACAGGAGTTACAAAATTGCAGGAGTAGCATACATAATATCATAAACAAGTAAGCCTGCACTAATCTAGAGAGAATAAAAACCCTCAAAAAAGAGTGCTCAAAATGATACCATTAAATAACCTGAAAAAATAGTTCATTGCTTTAATTAAGACCAGCGTCTTTGCTCTACAATCGTACTACTATCATGTCTGTAGGTGTTATGTGTTTCTAGATGAAAGTGCAAACAGTTCATAAAGGGTGTTATGCACTGAGATCAATACTCGTTCTTCCTACCACCAAGAAGGCGAAGTGGGCTGGTAAAGAACGAGTAATGAAAGCCTCAAATGGCCTCAAATGAAAAATTGATCGATATTTTTCATAAAGTTGGTGCAGTGAATGTAACTAAGGCCATTGAGAGGAATTGTAGCCCCCCGCTCCTCATTCCCGTCACTCTCACAGCTCTAATTTATGACTCTCCTCCTGCGGGTACAAAGCAAAATAATATAATTCTCAGTATTATCATGTGAAGATGTTTTTATAATAGAAACGAGTGCCAGTTTGCTCATTTTGTGTCCTTGGGGAATAACCGCTATTAATCTCAGATATAGTCCCCAATTTTTATTAGTTTTTCAAGTAGGATTCTAATTTTTTGTTTAAATTTAGAATAAATTTTAAAGTCTGAGAACCGATAATGTCTTTAACCTTTCTGCTGAACCAAGGATTGGGAAAGGGAATGAAAGAAACAAGGGCTTACAAATTTTTTTTACCTTATTTGTTTTCATGAAATCTTACAAATATTAATTATGATGTGTTTAGGTTCATAAATCCTCATTGACTTAACACTTTTTTCTGTTCAAAGACAGGCAGAAATATTCCAGCTTCTGCCACCTGAATGCTCCTTTTCTCTTTAGTTCTTTAATAATTGATAGAAATGTAAAGTAAATAATATGGAAACAGAGTGAAAAGTGCATGAATATCTATCTATTCCACC